AGGATATAAAGGTTATTATATAAAGGTTAAGAAAGGTTAAAAAGGGCATAGCGCATTTTCCATCTTACAAAAGACTACAGTAAAATTACACTACCTTTTGGTGGTGTTGTGTTTCTGTCGGTGAGTAAGGTTCCAAGGGTAGGCAACGAGTAATACTTTTGGTATCACAAGCGTCTCAAGGCTATGGTGACCGCTTTCCATCTGGCGGGATATATAAAAAATTAACGGATAGAATACATATACTGTACGTATAAGTATATTTATATACAAATACATATTAAACATCCATGACTGGAGTACAAATGCTCGTGTTCATTACACAAACATCTGCCCCCACCGGGATTCGAACCCAGGACCTCTCGAGTCGGCGACACCATGAAACCCAGCGTTTACCACCCTTTTAACATAAAAAATGTATGATTAAAAAGCCAAAACTTAGCGGTCGATGGTCGCGCACGGCTGTGACGAATTGCGAAGTTTGATTTCCAACACTCGAACACAAAAACATTTCGGTTGGAGCTAGCTTATCTATAAGCACGTAGAATGCCTGGTAATAGTGCTCACGGACGAAATGTATAGTCGGTAAATCACTACCTACAAACAAAACGACCGATGTACCATTACAACTACGTACGTGAGTGCGCGACTATTAAGCCCCGTGCCCATTCGAGAACAGGAAACAGTTCCTCTGAGCTGCTTATTTATTTACCAGGTTTTTGCCGCGAAGATTTATAGTCAGTTGTTTTGTAATGGCGAATTGATGCAGTAAGTTTACGCAACTCCACTGGGAGTATTTAAGCTAACGCTTCCTGTTTACCAAAAATAGATGTTTTTCCTGAGTTTGCTTGACACAGATAACTTTATAAAGTTATTACTTACCTCTTTCTCTACATTAAACTGTGATTTTCGAAATTGCCTATAAAATATGTTGCTCAACGGTAATAAAAAGGTTTTCAACTTTTATGGAATATTTTATTTCCCTTAAACATTTTCTTTGCCTACCATTCGTTCATCTTTTAAAAAAGAAAAGATGGGGCGTAAGACACTCCACGGTATTTTAAAGAATCAGTCAGTTTTGTCATTATATTATTGAGAATGCCGTGTTTTGCAGTACTATAATTATGTGAATGTGAAGTAACTATACTAATATTATAAAGAGGAGAGATTTTATTGTTGGTTTGAATTGAATAGGCTCTGAATACTGAAAAAAAGTTAGGGATCCGTATGACAACTTCGACAAAGCAACTCGACGTGTGAAAATTATTGACAATAGAGCAAAGTGATGTACTGTAGTTTTATAGAAGATATCAATATTTAAGAAAAAGTCTGCGATACTATATGTCATACTAGTACTTACTAGTTACGATCCGGCTTATTTGCTGTACAGTATTCTTAAAAATGCATCATGAATTTAATTTTATCAATAAACATTCAAAAGTAGTTTTGACAAAAAAGGTTCCATGGATATCAACTTAAGCAAACGATATAAGAATAAACAGTTCCCACGATTTCTTGTCAATATTGTTAAGAAACGAAGTTAAGTCTCCAACAATCACTTTCATTCACAAATGGATAGTAATACCTACAGCAGGTTGAACCGACCCCATGCTGCCATAAATGACCTTGATGGAATTAAAAAAAAAACTTTCCTAGTGCCTCGTCAATTTATTGTAGGATGTAATTCGCGTATTTTTAATCTTTTAGCCGGAGACGAATGGCTAGAATGAAAAATTTTATCGCGACACAAAATATTACAATACAGTTTGACATGTAATATTACAGTACTTATTTCAAAAGAAACACAAATTATGAACTACTTATGTTCAATTTACATATATTACTTCTGTCGCTACTAATCCTAACGAATGCACTTAAACGCCTACTTGAAATTCTTCATAAAGGAATAGTTATTATATGTACAAATATTATATTATTTGACGACCTCCGTGGCCGAGTGGTTTGTACGGTTTCATGGTGTCACCGACTCGAGAGGTCCCGGGTTTAAATCCCGGTGGTAGGAGATGTTTGTGCGATGAATACGAGCATTTGTACTCCAGTCATGGATGTTTAATATGTATTTCTATAAAAAAAAAATCTACCCTAGCACCCTAGCATCCCAAGTTACCCTAGCATCCCATAACACAAGCCTTATAGTGCTTACTTTGGGGCTAGGCTAATTGGCGTGAGTGTTGGAAATATTAAAAAAGAAATATTACTCTTTAAGATTAAAAAAAAGTCAGATTATTTTTTCACCAAAAAAAGCTCGATTCTTTAGTTGAATAGATACATTTCAACAATATAAACAAACACCTACTTGATATTCCCCATAAAAGAACAGTCATTATGTCTAATTATTATATTATGTTACTCCATCTGCTCATATGAATATGACATGGCGGCTGTTTGCGATGTATTTTTGGGGAAATGCCAAGAAAGCAGCGGAAAATGTTTCAATGACGTAATTATGAAGCCAAATATGAGAAGAGCTCTGGCCGACCTACAATCTGGTATGTGAATACGGAAATTAAGGTTTAATTTAAGGAAAACCACTTGCAACATATTTCTCAAAATAAAAAAAATAAAATCATGTTCAATCCAAGGTTACCAATGGCAAATAACTTTTAGTCTAAATCGAATTTCACCTCATTTGTAATTTTCTCTCTCTCTCCTCAATTCAAGTATGTGTTAAACTCGATAAGCTGAAAGGACATGGGAACTCTACTATGGCAAAATACGCCACAGCGAACGGAGATGAAATCTATCTTATTTTAAAACTTTAGATCCGATGTTCACCTTGAGCGCATTTTTGTGACCCACGGGAATATTGACATATAACGAGAACAACGTACAATAATTGTTTGTTGAAAAAAACAAACCCAATTAACTCAAGCAAAGTCGAGTTCGCGCGCGCGTGCTGAAAACTTTTTTTATTACTGTATGCTCCTAGGTAATAGGGAAGACCATTCAGCAGCTGGCTGGCAGGGTTATGTCGCTTTTCGCCATAAGGACCTTACAGGCTTCGCTGATACAAAAAACCCCATACAGGGACACAGGGATAAAGTAGGTGATTGTATCTATCCATTACTACTTTTCTTTAAGTAGGGCAAAATATTCCAAATGTCTTTTGAATTAAAAATGGCGGCGTTTTTAATTTAAAGGCCCACTTGCACTTTTTTATTACAATTAAGTACAAGTGGGCCTAAACAACTTTTTGTTATTATTAAATTTTAATTATACACAATACTTTTATAATAAGAAGGTGACCAGGACTAAATAACGAAAATAATCGTGATCTTAATTGTAGCGATGACTTCAAAGCGTCTCGAAAAATTTCTTGTTTCCTATGTATTTATTTAACTTAGTAATTGAAGTAAGTACAGATGGAATAAGAGTTCCTTGCTTTGTAGTATTCTGAATGTACCATAAAAAAGTGAATTAACAAATTAAGGAGAATTATTAATGCCAAAACATAGTCTAATATAATATTACCTATCTGTTTGTAAAATAAAATCTGATAATAAAAATTATTCGAGTATAGTATACGCACTCTAATAGTTTTTGTCATTATGAATTCAGTACGTACTCAATATGCCATCGCATTTCCATAAACTTGTGATACCTAACTTGTACCTAACTAAAAATCGGCTAGGTGTGAGTCGCACTCAGAAACGAAGGGTTCTGTACCATATAATATTTAAAACAAGATCGATAAAATCCAAAGTAAACCAATTTCTGTCCTAGTAAAGGACTCTTGTAACAAACAGACATCGATAGCATATAACCCCTGTTAGGGTTACGTTTAATTTATAACTGTCCACAATACTATTGTCACATTACTTGTTTTCACATTGTTTCTTGGTATTCTAGTAGGTACTAATAATAAATAACTTTCTATTTCTAGAATACCGAGAACTTATATATAACTGTTATTTAGCAACTTTTTTTGACTTGGAAGCAATATGTGTAGTGTTGTCCAATAATAATTATTGTTATAAGAAATTGAAATATCAAACTCACTACCATTCTATTAGATTCTTTGTCTGAATGAGCTATAATTGAATACTAGAATTGAACGATTTTTATTACGCAGTAATTTCTAGGTAATGTGTCAATACGACATTTTAAATCTGTGATAAGTACCTGAAACTTTTCTATATTTTATCCTCAAAAAGGGACCTACAAAAATTTGCCAGACATAAAATATTAAACGAATTATTAACAACCATTGAAGTAAAAAATCACAATCCCAAAGCTCATGCATACGAAATTGCAAATTCAATATTGAAAGTATTAATTTGACCATTCACAAAATAAATTATTAAGGTCCGATGTAAATGAGTTCAGTCAGATAATTTGGAATACCCTTCAATTTAAGTACGAATTCGTTCTATTTAAGTACAAATTGAGGACCCCGAAGTTATTTTACAGAAAATAGAGAAAATGAATATAATGGTATAAAGACAAAAGGCACAAATTTATATTCTAGCCAGGAACATTTTTGCGTCTTATTTTCTCTGTAGCACAGTTAAGGATTCCAAAATTGATTGAATTCTTTTTGTTAGGCTAAGGGCACACTAAAGAAGGTAAGCTTAGTAACGAGCTAGAATTGAAGTGTCGGCGAGCCAGGGGGGTACGACCACGACTAGTCATTTGTGACGCGGCGTCGCGCGAACTGTGTGGCACCGGCTGCCTGAGCAGCATGAGGATGGTCTGGTCATGTGACCATGTGTCTAGTGCTGAATTAAGCTTGTTAAACGCCACGTCATTTTCTTTGATCACAGAAAAAAAGTACGATCAATGGATCTTGTCGGTCATTGGTTCCTCTACCATATGCTTCTACATAATGCTGGTGTTGATCCAGCAGCCCCGTGTTCCACCTTCAGGGGCCTGATGTGGAACTGTGCTTGCTTCTCCAGTCGCGTATGCAGTGTGAGGATAGTCTGATCGTCTGGACATGTACCTAGTACTAAACTACGTGTATAAAACAAAAGACAACTAACCTAGAACGTCAACACAGCCTATTTGCTTCTTCATAGTACTGGTGTTGATCTGGCACATGTAGCAGCCCCGGTCTTCCACCTTCAATGGCCTGATGTGGAGCTGCCAAGACCTTGGCGAGTCGTTGGTGACGGCGTAGCGCGAACTATGCGTCACCAACCGAGTGTGTAGCGTGAGGATGGTCTGATCATCTGCTCGTATCCATGCCACCTTGGAAATAAAAAGAAAACACAGTTATCCCAAGTTTACTTCAGCAAAAACTTCTGTAGTGTGCTTGTGGAAGTTGTCAGAATCGATGTCTACTATCGGCTTCTCCGAGTGTCACAGGTTAGCGCTGGGAGCGTACGGATGGCAACATATTTTTGGATCTTTCACATTTTTTATGTATTTTTTTTTTATAGTTAAGTCCGACAAATGACTCCACCCCACCTGATGTTAAGTGAAGGTGAAGTCCAGACGCGAATATAGCTGATACAGCAGTTCTACCTGCCACACCAGCCATCCTCACCCTGCCGGCCTGCATGTTGCTTCTTCACGCCTCTTTTAAAGGATCCCAGGTTGTAAGAGGGAGGGAACACGTGAACATGTATAAGCAAATATGAGTTTCATGGAACACTCGGTTGGAATGAAGTTAAAAATATATTTTCTACACTAACTACAAACAATACGCTACGAAACAACTGACGGTTGTGTCAGAAAATTTTTACTTCATTTCGCCAAGCCTCTATCCGCCAAAAACGTCTATGAATGCGGTCGCAAGTATTTGGGAGTTATGTTGGTAGTACTTTAAGTTATATTTAATCTAAATATTGGTAGACCAAGAATTTATTAAATACGTCAATGTGCGAGGTTATTCACAAACAGCGAACTAGCAGTATTGAAATGTGGTTTTGTTAACTGTTGGTTATGCTAACCGTAAGCGGTTAGGTACTGGACTATATTACTGTACCTACACTCTGTAGACCCCAAAGCTCGATATAATAGTCAAGCCATGTCAGCCGCATTACATTACAGGGCAAGTCTTGCGGAAGGTTCGGTTACGTGTGATATTGATTTGAATGGTCTATACATAGATCCTAACCAAAACCATGGCTATTGGTGAGGTGATCCAGCCTCAGCTAATGTTAAGGATAGGCTTCATGTTACAATAGGCTTCATATTTTACTCACGGCCGTTCAAAAATAACTTTTAAGTTTTACTTTCAGTGTCAATTTTAGTCAAACTTTAAAGTAAACTTAAAACTTACGATTAAGTCCGATTCGGACTCACCCACTGACGGTTCCGTACAAATTTTTAGATACGCGACTTATACGGCCATACCTTTTTTCCTGTTATACTTAGAATTTTTCTCAGCTTCAAGAGACCGTGGAATTGAATATAAAGTTTAAATATCAACTCCATATCTACAAGCATATTACGAGTATAATAGGTTTTTTTAAAGTGAAACTTTAATTACATCGCCACAATTATTTTCTTTAATTTTAACATGTCGCATTTTTTTTTAATTGTTATTGATAAGTGTCGAAATTATATGTCAGTTCACGTTTGACCTCGTACTACTTAACATCTTAATCTTCAGCCTATTAATGTCCCCACTGCTGGGACACAGGCCTTCCCTATGGATGGAATAGGGAGATTGGGCCATGACCTTCCGCGCGGGCCCAGTGCGGATTGTCGGGTACTAACAACTGCAAATGCAGCCAGGACCAACGGCTTAACGTGCCTTCCGAAGCACGGAGGAACTAGTGATAGAAAATTTTTGGTCACCCATCCAATGACCGACCACTGCGAAAGTTGCTTAACTTCAACGATCGCAGCCGAATACGCTAACCACCCACGCCACCGAGCTCCTCTACTCACGAGTACTTTATTCACCACACAATTCACACAGTTCTTTCTTTCACACTCTGGCATAAAACAAGTTTCCATAAGAACAGCATTTGCATAGCAATAGTTTCATAACTTATCTATTACAATATACAATAACGTAAACGCAAGAAATCATATTTATAAAACGACAGTTAATCAGTGAAAGAAGATTCTAACGGACTGGTCAAAGCGACTGAATTACGATCATACACGGAACAAATATTGCATCGATAAAAGTATACAAGAACATATAGATAGCTATAATGATATAATATATAAATTATCCCCCTTAACTAATAATATCACATGCATTTTTAATAACTGCCATATTGAGAATTCACATTCTATCACATACATGCATATACACCATACACAAAAACGCATCACAAACCCACACACACAATCACACAAGTATAATTAGTATGTATGAAATTATAATTTCGATGAATTTTAAATTTTACTTTTTGATGTATTATTTAAACATAAACAGGAATGAAAGAGCGGATACTTCTAATACAGGTAACTTAACTTAAAAGAAGACGACCTACATAATGTAATAAGCTTAATAAAGATTTTTGTATTTTTTTTAAACATACAATACTATAATGCACCTTATTATTTATATAAAAAGATAGTAAATAGCGAACGCGAAACGAATAAATGAAAGCATTTGTTACCAATAAAAGTGCTCTTACTGATAATAATAAATTAAAGTATGAAGAACCATCAGCATTCAGCATCGCTCCACTTTCGCAAAACAGAAACTAAATAAAAGGTAAATCAAATACTTGTATAACGGAATGAGGGAAGGAATACGCAGCAAAACTGCGATATAATAAAGTGAATTTTTCCATTAGGCCGGTCAGAATCAAGTGAAATCACATTACGCTAAATTCGAATGTATAAAGACTGGAAGAGATCCAAAAAGTTTTATTCAATTACTGAATCTCTTGTTCCTTTTCAGCTTATTTTAATCCGGCGTTGGAAACATGGTACAGCCTCCTATTAGTCTTTGATGTTCAGCGATCCACATTAATGAGTCGATGCTCATTGTTAAAATGCGTAGTCAATATACTTTTGTGAAGTCGCACAAACAGTGTCGGTCGAAACTGTTTTACTGGTTTGACATTTAAAGACGAAATAGATGAGGATGATGTACTTATTTGAAGTAGAAAATCAAACGAATTTAATGTTATGCTATCGCAAAATAAATATGCAAAAATGGCTCTTTAAAGAATAACGGCAGAAATTGTATTTAATGCTTGTGTGCAAATGGCCGGCTCTTGTTATTTAATTACTATTGCAAAAAAGTAATAACATTTAAATTAATTAAAATACATATTTCAAATTTCTGGCTTTTGATACCTTAATTAGGCTTTTTAGAAGGCGAAACCTGAACCAAAAATTTCACTTAATTTTTTAAACTATACATCTCAATATTACATTTTATGAACTTTTTCGTTTTCCACCATCATTTAGTTAACTTATGTGACGGACGGACGTCCGCCCTTCTGCAGCTTAGCTCACAGACTATTAGTACTACAAAGTTTTAATTTGGCATGAATATGCATTTTAACTTTTCATCACAAAAGTAAGTAGAAAAATGTAAAATGAATTCCGGAAAAATATTTTTATGGTTCCTCCCCTACAATTGACTTTGAGATTCCATACAAGTGGATGTCGTAAGGTGTTTAAAAAAAAACGGAGTATTGTTAGAATTCCGTAGTCCTGACACTTACAGTTTCGGTATGTCCGTCTGTCCGTTCCCGGTTTTGCTTGAGGATTATTACCACTAGAGAGCTGTAACTTTGTAGATAGAGGTAAAGGACAATGGGCAAAACGCACCCAGCTCCGCCGACAATGTAATTAGTATGAATCGATAGATCTATGAAAAGCTAGCCTTTTTTAGTACGAAACCGAAAAAAGATATCCTGGGAGTCAAAAGATATGACACCGTAAAAATATCCTGGTAGTCAATAGATATGACACATGGGCATATTTAAGTAGCTGAATAAATTCATTTTATATTAGTACCTTCATTTTATATTATTTGTAATCATAATAAGATGCCATATCGTACTATACAACCAGATATACGACAAAGCCTGCTAACCATCCTGCATTGCTCTTACCGAGACATTTCAAAACGGTTTACGGATGATGAAGGACTTGCAGTTGCAAATAGTCGACTCGTCTTACTTCGTTGTGATTGTGCGCTCCCTGCTACTTGATTGATTTTTATCTAACACGCTTTGGATATTGGAACACGATTATCGGTTTTGTCAATTAGTATGGATGAACTGGAATCATGTCTTCTCCCAAACGTGGACAAGTTTGTGTAATCTGTGGTCGCTCCGTGTTACATAGAAGACAATTTACTATATCGAACAGAATGTTTAAAAAAAACATGTGGGGATTTTTGGATTTACTCTAGCGCGGCAGAATAACATAAATAATTCCTGAGCACCCTATGTAAGGTCGAACTAACTAACTAAATTAATTACCTTGTTTCATTAATGTTCGTTCGTTAAAGTACTTGAACATATTTAACTTAAAAAAACTAAAGACCCCCGGGATGGAATTTGATGCGCTTTGGCACATATGATCTTGACTATAATACCTTTCAAACAAATGTAGTTTAAGCCGTGGCGGACGTGGGCGCAGCGTCCATATATTTTTGCCCAAGGTCCTGACAAAAATTTTTAGGGTAACTCATCTACATGTAACTTGGGGATGTTTTTTTTCATCATCTACCCTATCGTGTGGGATATCGTTGAATAGAATAAATCTAGCAGTGAAATGCTTAAAAATAAAATAACCGACTTTCATATGTTAATCTTTATATATATAATTCTTCTGTGAGTGTGTATGTCACTGAACTTCTCTTAAACGACTGGACCGATTTTGATGAAATTTTTTGTGTGTGTTCAAGGGGATCTGAGAATGGTTTAGATTCACAATTTTGTCCGCTGGAAAACCCCTATTTTTTTAGGGCGGTACGAAGTTCGCTGGGTCAGCTAGTTACTTATAAAGCTATTTTGTTTGAAATTGTCGGTTAACTATAATGCTTATAGACGTCGCTGCCTTACAGCCTAATGGCCTACGCAGACAACGGGCTTTTGTACGCAGGACTTTTGTACCCGTATCATGAAAAACAAAAAAAATGTCCGCCGAGGAAGTCCTCAGACTGTGTGCGTCGCACACAGTGTACAAACATTTGTTGCTCGGAAATTTAGTGAAGCGCACGCTATGGAATCAATAATCTGGGATTGCGTTGTATTAAAATTAACATGAAGTTTAAGAAAAAGAAAAGACGTTCTTAAAGAAAACACTGGGTCCAT